GAACTGGTGATGTGGCTCTCTGTGTTTGCTTGTCAGAAGTGAGGAGACCATCATTAACTGGAGAGAATACACACTTTGTCTTCTCATAGCTGTGGAGTCCCACCAGGGGAGCAAGAACTCGCGCTCCATCACCTCCATCATGGCCGACTCTCTCACTCTGTTACTGAGTGCACTGAGAGTGTAGAAAGCCTGGATGCTTTTTTTAGATGCCATACTTCCTCACATTCTCTGTTGCACTCATGACGTGAGATGGTTGGTATGCAGCCCCAGGCTCCTTTAAGAGAAGACCAAAGATCACCAGGTGATTGCGTGATGGATAGTCGGTCCCGTTCCACATAAAAACACCAGGACGCACTTCGCTTGGCATTCGGAGCCTCCCACCTGTCCTGTCAGCCTTAATTCACAAAGTGGTGCCGCAGCACTGGAGAGCATCCTCTTTTCCCCTCTGATTCATAAATTCACTCCATTTTCCAAATTAAATTCTGATATTGTACATGATCGCTGGCAGACACTTACAAGAACTAATGAGGTAATGTTCTGGAGCAAACATCAACTTTATCAGCAAAACAAAAAAAGCCAGAAGGAACAACAGAAGATGATTTCTAGGTATATTTATGAACCCTTATTAATATTAGCCTGCCTCTGAATCTTTAAGGTCACCCTGAAACACATACTTTTACTTCACAAGACCACATACTTTTATTTCCTGCTAAACCCTTCGTATGTAATAGTGTTTTTACTGTAAACGCACAAGCTCTGTACCGTCTCAGTCTCTCTGTCCCGGTATAACCAGCCCACTCATTCTCTCTGTCCCGGTATAACCAGCCCACTTAGTCTCTCTGTCCCGGTATAACCAGTCCACTCATTCTCTCTGTCCCAGTATAACCAGTCCACTCATTCTCTCTGTCCCGGTATAACCAGCACACTCATTCTCTCTGTCCCGGTATAACTAGTCCACTCAGTCTCTCTGTCCCGGTATAACCAGCCCACTCATTCTCTCTGTCCCGGTATAACCAGCCCACTCAGTCTCTCTGTCCCGGTATAACCAGCACACTCATTCTCTCTGTCCCGGTATAACCAGCCCACTCATTCTCTCTGTCCCGGTATAACCACTCCACTCATTCTCTCTGTCCCGGTATAACCAGCCCACTCATTCTCTCTGTCCCGGTATAACCAGCCCACTCAGTCTCTCTGTCCCGGTATAACCAGCCCACTCAGTCTCTCTGTCCCGGTATAACCAGCCCACTCAGTCTCTCTGTCCCGGTATAACCGGCCCACTCAGTCTCTCTGTCCCGGTATAACCGGCCCACTCAGTCTCTCTGTCCCGGTATAACCGGCCCACTCAGTCTCTCTGTCCCGGTATAACCAGCCCACTCAGTCTCTCTGTCCCACTATAACCAGCCCACCCAGTCTCTCTGTCCTGGTATAACCGGCCCACTCAGTCTCTCTGTCCCGGTATAACCGGCCCACCCAGTCTCTCTGTCCTGGTATAACCGGCCCACTCAGTCTCTCTGTCCCGGTATAACCGGCCCACTCAGTCTCTCTGTCCCGGTATAACCAGCCCACTCAGTCTCTCTGTCCCACTATAACCAGTCCACTCAGTCTCTCTGTCCCGGTATAACTAGCCCACTTAGTCTCTCTGTCCCACTATAACCAGTCCACTCAGTCTCTCTGTCCCGGTATAACTAGCCCACTTAGTCTCTCTGTCCCACTATAACCAGTCCACTCAGTCTCTCTGTCCCGGTATAACTAGCCCACTTAGTCTCTCTGTCTCACTATAACCAGTCCACTCAGTCTCTCTGTCCCGGTAGTAACTATAGTAACTAATAATACTAATAACTAATAAAGACACACAGTAATCATCACTGTACTTAATAATAGTAACT